CTTAATCCACGCATCGGTGACATATATATATATATATATATAAACTTATTATTATTATTATTTTGCAGAGTTAAAATAGACTAACCTGACTCCAAGAAATTGTGGCTGTTCTCCCGGTGCGCTACATTCGCTCTCCATTTTCAGAGAGTCGATGTGCGCTATGGAAATAACCGTGGCAGCAACGTACCAGGGCAGACCCATGAAGGAGCATAGAGCCATCAGGATCCCCACCCAAAATAGGTCCAAGTGGTAACCACAGCCTTTCTGCAGTTGCATACAATGACAAGCAGAAAATGTTTTCTTTTTATTTTATATCATTTATGAAAGATAAACATATGTACTGCAAATTTTACAATCAGTTCAGCTCTTTGTACAAAATTGTTTTACATTTAAACTGTGGGTTGTACTGGTTATCTAAAAAAATACCAAAAATATGTATATAATAAATAAACAACATGCTAATGCAGATTAAATGTCAATCTTATAGTAGTATAAATCTTAACCAACCCAATAGACTAAAACTCTGATTGATTTAACGCTCTCTGTTTTATTAACATTTTCAGTTTTCAATATCAAACAGTCCCTCCAAGAGTTTATTTATATACTTTGTGATTGTTGCAGCCAAAAGTGTCAAACATAACTTTTTCAGTAGTTTGCAATTAAGGTATCAATATTTTAAAGTAGCTTTTTTTAAACATGATGAGAACAAATTAATTTATTAAAATAGCTGTATCTGTTTTACATAACCTTTTCAAAGATTACTCAGGATTTCTACAATACAGTATTAATAATTTACAACAACAGCAAATCTGTTCAAAATCTTTGGTGAAACAACTAATATAAAGAAAAGCATGTAAAAACAAAATATCTGAGTATTATTTTATTATAATAATAAACAAAAAATATTCAATGTAGTACTCATCAAATGCACTGAATCTAGTAAGTTACACCGACCACTATATTTCATAAATATTGTGTGAACTCGTTGGTGTTTCTCCACTGCAGAAGGTTAGTGAGTCATATTTTATTGCCCATCACGTCACGAGGTGAAAGGACAACAAGTTGTGTCCGTGTCTGTGTATGTTTATGTTCACTTGTCTGAAGCATTGGCAACATACATGAACCAGTGGATGGATTTAAAGAAAGCTTGCAGAAAGTAGATGTAGATCTAGAACTGAAACAACCTGATTTCAGGAGGCAGCTAAGTTATCCAAACACCAAAATATCTATAAAAACTAATTTCACACATACTGAGCTAAAACTGGATGTGGTTTTAGCTGAGGGTTAATCTTTACACTTATTCTGAATGTTAAATAATCCCATGAGATATTTTATTATTAATGTTCATAATTAGAGGATTCAACACAGTCTGTCAGTTGATAAAATATCCCATGAACCATTGGATCAATATTGAAATTATTGAATGAACATCTGCAAATGACTGCCACAGCTAATTGATCTTAGTTAACACAAAATGGCTATCCATCCATCCATCCATTATATTTACCCGATTCTTCCTTTTCGGGTCGCAGGGGTCACTGGTGCCCATATCCAGCCGTCACAGTGTGAGATGCAGGGGACATACTGGCCTCACAGTGTGAGATGCAGGGGACATACTGGCCTCACAGTGTGAGATGCAGGGGACATACTGGCCATGTCTCCAGTCCATCACAGGGACACATAGAGACAAACGAGACAACCGTTCACTCTCTCACTCACACCTAGGGACAATTTAGAGTTATCAATCAGTCTAACATGCACGTTTTTGGCCTGTGGGAGGAAACTGGAGTACCTCGAGAAAACCTACGCATTTACGGAGAGAACATGGTGAATGACAATGAAGAACCTCGAGTCCTTGAACATGTGAACTCCACCCAGAAGGGTCCCTGGGCCGGGATTTGAACAGGGGCAACCTTCTTCACTGAGAGACAGCAACTCTACCAACTGCACCACCATGCTGCCCATAAAATGCTAGTCAATTCTACAGATAGTGAAATATAATTTGGTGTGGCATTAGCTGAGTCATTGCCAGTACAGACTGTGAACACTAGTGCAACTCCAAAGATTTCACAAGAGATTGTGCTTCAAGCCATTTATGACGCATGAATAAAGGAGCCATCTCCTCTTCTCATCGTGATGAGATGATCTCATACTAAAACTCTGGCAGCAGGTAATTAGCATTTCTTCAAGGAATCAAGTTTTTAAACTATGCTTTTTTACTGATGCGTCTCTTTCTCACTCACATAAACCCACTCAGACACAGACAAACACACCTCTGTACAGTTATTATTAAGCATTTGTAACGTTTTTCATAAATGCCTCAAGCAATAATGGTTCACATGATGGAGTGTTGGGTCTTCAGCTCATGTGACCTTAATAGGCCTATCATTACCTTGACAACAACCTATAAGCCCAGAACTCCTAACCCACTATCAGAACTGAAGACAGCTTTAGGATGAGAGGTGAAACATCTAGTTATCTTCTTTTGGACCTCTTCAAAGGAAGACAACTGGATCTTTATGTCCTGGATGACTGAGAATCTACACCAACATGTAACTTTGGATGTTTTCTGTTAGAGGAGAGCTACCATGCAAATTACAGCTCAAGCAATTGCTATATAAATCATTTGCAAATGTTTGTTAATAAAACCAACTAGTTGTGGTTAAAACTGAAATAATTTCTTGTATTTGACAACTTTATCGTTACTTGTTGTGATTTTCATACCTTGAGCTTGTTTTCCTTTCGATTGACGATGACCGCGCTGATCTGTTGGTCCATAAAGATGAGTATGGTGACAAGGAGAGCAGGAACGAAGCTGGCCAGATACCACCACCAGGGGTTTTTCCCAAAAGGAAGAACAATCCATCCACGATCAGGACGTGTCGGCTATATCATACACAGTAATAAAAGATCAGTTTATTTGTCTTTTATTTTTATTTGTCTTTTAAAAGAGGGCAAGTTGTTATTGTTCTGAATGTTGGTCATATTGCATAAATAGAAGTTTGCATGCAGTGGTGGAACACACACACAATAATAATAATAATAATAATGTCATCACAATGTCAGCACTGTATGTTTCCATACAATGGCGAAATTAGTCTCTGCATTTAACCCATCCACCACCAGGTGGTGCAGTGGGCAACTATTGAAAGCACCCGGGGGACATTTTGGGGATGAGACGTGCTGCCCAGAGACGCCACGTGATGTGCAGTGACTGGGGATCGAACCTGGGACTTTCGGGTCCCAAGCCGGCTGCCCTGCCTCTACACCATCTCAGCCCCCATATGTACATATATGCCCTGTATATATTGTTAATTTTTGGCACAATACCTTAAGATATAGATTTGCCAAGTTTTGTGATTTAAAAAAAACGTTGCTGAGCTCTGGAAGCCTTGACATTTGACCTTGCTTGGGAAACAGGTAGGTATTTGGCTCTCAAAGCACCTTCCTTGTCCCAGAGGGTTTGGGCAGCAGGGGATAGCCTCAGCCTCAGCTCCTGACATGCAGCACCCAGCTGCCACATCCCTGGCTTCAACCAAAGCCATAATAAATGTAATGTATCTATCCCCTGCTGTGTCTCTAAGATCTTACTATAAAAACTAAGCAATAAGGTTTAGAGAACCCCACAAGACTGTCAAGAAATGGATATGGGGGGAAATGCACTAAAATATCTAAGTCGCCAACTGACAGCTGCTCAATCAAACTGTGAGTATTTGGGTATTTGTGAGTATTAACAAGTAGTCAGAACCATTCTAATAACAAGAACAACAATATGGTCACAAGTTCAACTGACATTAAAGATTACATTAATACTATCCCCACAATAAAATACAGTGATAGTAACATCATACTCTCTCTGATAATGGACTCTCACCAACAGGTCTCAGCAGGTGAGGTGTAGTACTCACCTGTCTGCCCTTATCACCACAAACACAGAGCACCACAGGGATGTGGACACTATCTGTGTCTGTTCACTCTATACACCAATGAGCTATGTTCCAGTGACCCATTTGTAAAGCTTGTGAAGTACACTGATGGCAAAATCATCTTGGGCCTTATCACCAATGATAATGACATGACCTACATAAACTGCATTTCAGAGCTCACAGTGTGGTGTCCAGATAATAATCTGGAGTTAAACATCACCAAACCAGCTGAGATTATCATTGACATTGGAAAAAAAACATCCACCTTGACAGTCTCCTCTCATAATTAAGGAGGTAGACTCTGCTCTGTTTTAGGCTTCTCCATCACAAGGACCTGAAATAGACACTCAAAGGTTGTTAAGAAGGCTCACTGAAGGATGCCTAGGGTTCTTAAAAAGCTAAACATCTACACTGAATTGATTGCCCAGTTCATCGGTGCAACCATCGAGAGCATCCTGATCTCCATTTCTGTGTTTTATCCTGGCTCCACTGTACACATTAAATATCAACTTGATTACATCATCAAGCTGGGGAGTAAACCAAGTGGAAAACACCAACAGTCAAAATTGAATTTGCACATTGCCATAGTCCTGAGACAGGCTTGGAAAATAGAGGACTTGTTAGAGTTCATGTTTATTTGGATTCAGAATTCAGCCAGACAACAACAATGTAAAAACAAGAACTGAAGTCAATCGGAGGGAGAGCTGCTGAAGAGAGAGGCTTTTATGCAGTGGACAGCGGGGCAATGCAGAGTCATGTCCAAAGGTCAAAGCGGAGGTCAAGAATAGAGAGTCAGAGGTCCAAGAATAAATCCAAAAGGTCAATCCAAAATCCATAGGCAGAACAAGTGGTCATTGCCAGGGTCAGATGGGCTGAACAGAATCAGACAGGGAGCAGTCTTGTGTAGTAAATCCACAAGACGAGGCTTGAGGTTGAAATCCGATGAACAAAGCGTGAATGTTAGGCGTGAACATAAACACGAAGGCTGGATATCTAACACCATCAAGGGCATGAATCTGGCAGATTGGAGTGGTGAGAAGAGTCATTAAATCTGGGTTAGAACAGGTGTGGTGAATGAGCTCTGATGAGCTGCGGGTGGAGTGGGCGTGGCAGAGTGACAGGTGCAGAAACAAGACATGGAGAGGAAGAAGACAGAGGACGTGATCATGACAGGACTCAAATAACCTGGCACAGCTTTTTTTTATTGCCGTCTGGCCAAAAATTATGTAACATAAAAACAATCACTTTTTCTTCTCCTGCATTGCAGTCAAGAAAAATGCATGTACAGTGCACAGATTCCTTAAAGCAAAGGTTACGTTAGCGTTATTCAAAATTTTATTTAAGCAACTGAAAAACTGATTTTTATCACTATAAACACAAACATTCATCTGAAGTGATCTAAATTGAAGTCGTTTGAACCTAAAAGTTCCAGAACATCTTTGCAAATGACTAAAAATGGCCATTTACCAATATTTATAATCCAGCTAGGTTGAGTTTTGTGCAAAAGGTACTCATCAACCTCCATAAGAGGTGCCAAGCTTCAACAAAGTCCATGCTCAATAACCCAGAAAGAAAATCCAGGTGCCAAGCTTGTTTGAGCAATAAATGTATAATATGAAAATGACTAAATATTTTTGATTTATTTATAGAGCAATATAACCAAAACTCATTTTTACTTTTTTGTAATAAGAAACTGTGAAATGAGGACAAAACATGCTTTTAGAACAGCAAAATAAATCACTACCAAAAAACAAGAATCTCTAAGCTGTGCAGTATTTTAGTCTTTCTTCAGTGTTATCTCTACTGTAAGCATGCACTTCCAGTAAAATACTATAAAGGTTGTAAATAAACACACATTTTCATACATATGTTAGTGAGAAATCAAATACCTTGAATTCTGTTGGAACAATTAGTTTAGGCGTGTCTAAACCAATCAATATATCCAGACCAACAAAGGCCATGATTGACATGAAGATGGCAAAATCACTGATTAGCTTCCTCATCTACGGGCTCAACAAACACACACCAAAGCAAATGGAGAACAAACACGTGTAAATCAGGAAAATAGGACAAAGAAAATGAGAGAAAAAAAATTACACTTTGTAAAATAGTATTACACAGATAAATCTACATAACATTAAAAATGTAAACAATTGAGTACAAGTGTGCTATTTGGGAAAGAGGTGCAATCAGCTGTGACACAAACAGAAGGATTGGTGAAAAATTAATTGCTTGGGAAACAGTGGACCTTTATCTCTGTGGGCACGTGCAGTTTGGGGGTGTCCAGTTGGAGAAGGAAGTCAAATCCGCAGAAGACCAGGATAGAGATGATGATGGCAAAATCACTGACCAGGGTACGGGACTAGAGTGGAATCAGGAAAACACAACAGGAGAACATGGAAGACATCATGCTGGTTTGTAAAAGAAAGCTCAAGGAATCGAGTTTGAATTTGAGGAAGGAAGATCTAAGCTTTGAATTGTGTTTTGTTGCTTTAGAAGTAAAAAGCTGGGAATAATTTTACATTTTACATCATCTAAATATTCTATGAAGATTTTTGATCTATGTTTTTCTTGTTCCATGAGACCTGGACATGTTTTCTAAACAAAAAAGGCAGGTCACATGTTAGTGTATCTACATCTTATCAGATTGCTGCATAAAAATTGTCACATTTGTTTTCAGAATATCATGACAGTATCAAATGTGAACAAATTGTTTTAAATAATTTGTGTGATCAATAAAACAAAAAGTATTCTGATATTTACTGAGAGTTCCAACTTTGTCCATCAGATGAGTCTACTTAAATGTTTTGCCAAACATCTTTGTGAACAAGATTCCAGCTCTTTGCATGCAGGTAATTTTTCTAGAAAGGTCATCAATGGTAAACTTGTTTTTGGGAAAATTATCTACCAACAGTAGTAAATGAGGTGGTGTTACCTTTGTCGGGAAGTAGCGGCTGAACTTGAACTTCTTGAGAGAAATCGTCATGGAGTAAGTGCCAAAGAAGAGGATGAAGGACATAAGGGCCAGGTCGGGGACGTACTTACAGGCGTTCCCCACCAAAGAACCGCCATATTTCACACACTCTTTCTTACTCAGTTGACTCCAGTCCATGTCTGTCAAATTAAACTGAGGGCCAAGAGTGAAGCAAAAGGTTTTGGAGGGACAAGAAGTTGAAAGCAAAGTTTGGGTTGGGGGGGGGGGGGGGGGGATCATAGCAAGAAAAAAGAAAGAAAAGACAAGCGATAACAAACGAACAAACCATACAAAACAAAAAATAAAACTCACATTGCTTTCCATTAGTCATGGGAGTCAATGTTTATTATTCTAGCAGAAAATTTAAAAAAACCCAGTCCTTACCAGGTCATGAAGTTTAATACAACCTCTGATAAAAAAAGAAATTAAAAAACTCTTTACCAATAAAAAGTGGTTGAAAATATTAAGTTCACCAAATGATTCATCATCTTGTAAAGCCACTGTTAGCAGTAATAATGTATGGTAGTTATCATCTGTATGAACATGTTACATTTTTATGAACAAATTTTGGCACACTCTTTTTTTACAGGGTTGTTTGGGTTCATTGAGGTTTGTGGCCATTTGTATCTGCACAGCTCTGATAATGTCCCACTGCAGCACATTATTCAGGTTGAGGTCTGACTTCGGACTTGGCCATTGCAATACCTTGATTTTTTTTTTTCAGCCATTCTGTTGGAGTTTTTGGAATGGTTGTGATGGTTCATAACTCAGAGAAAAGCTTCATCTGAATCTCAGAAATGTGGCCTCACACTTGCTTTCTCCCAAGGCAGAAATGTACCGTTCTGCTTAGAAAAATGGTGGATATGCTTTCTAGGTTTTTATATTTCCTAAAATATAATTTTCTTTAATGATCTATTGGGGGATAGAAGCTATTTTATTTCTCCCACAATTTGGGGGATCCAGGACTGCCCAACCTCAAGATTTCTGTGAGAATGCTCAGAGCAGATCCACTGCTCTATCACATAAAAAGGAGTTCAAGTTCAAAAATCTTTATTATCCCCGAGTGGCAATTTGTTTCACAGTCAGTAGGCACATAAAACATCCATACTACACAAGACATTGAAATGTTAAAAAAACAATATGGAAGTCATCAATGTTCATTAAGAAGCCTGATAACACCAGGGATGAATGAGTTGTTCAGTCTGTTCGTTCTACATCTGGGCAGCAGATACCTGCGTCCAGATGAAAGCAACCTGAACTCACCATGGAGTGGTGATCAGGATCTGCCAGAATCAGCCTGGCCTTGTTCACTGACCTCGCCTTGTGTAGGGTCAGTGAGGTTCTGTAGAACTATACCAGCAGTTTTGCTGCACATCCAGACAATCCCCGAGAGTTTGTTCCTATTTTTGCATGTTAACAATCCAAACCAACAGATGAAGGTGAAAGTTAAAAGAGACTCAATAAAACACGCTCATAAAAGTCGAATCAACATTAAAACCACCGAGCTTCTGATAAAAATACATTCTCTGGTGGGCCTACTTACAAAGTGAGTTCACATGGCGGTCAAAGGTCAATTTGTCATTGAGAACAGTTCTCAGATATTTATATTGATGCACCACCTCAACAACTTCACTGTTAATGACCACAGGAGCTGCAACTGTAGAGTTTTTTTTCTTCTGAAATTGATGACCATCTCCTTTGTCTTAGAAACATTTAACTTTAAAAAGGAAGACTCACACCATTCAGTGAAGTCCCTGACCATAGGACCAGGGTCTGTCAGGCATCAGGTAAGGTGGAGTGGGTATGTGATTAGACTGTTTCCTTGACAACTTTGAAAGTTTTCCAGGCACATCCCACTGGTAGGAGACCCTCAGTCCTCTCACCAGAGCATGCCTTGAGATTCCTCAAGAGAAGATTGTTGGTGGAAAGAGAACTGTCTAATTTTCTTTCCTGGACATCTTACCAATACCATACCATACCAATTTATTTATAAAGCACTTTAAACAGTGACAAAGCACACCAAAGTGATGTACAGGAACAAACAGAACAAGCACATAGCAACAGATTACATAACAGGACACCAAAAAGTAGAAACCGACAAAAACAATAATGGATAACAACAACAACCGCAACATGACTAACACAGTGTGATGCACACAGACTCAGCACAGATCACACAGTGCAGAAAGCCAGGGAATAGAAGTGTGTTTTTAAGCGAGATTTAAAAACTGTGAGGGAGGGGGCCTGTCTAACGACAGGGCGAGTCTAACTCTTGTCTACACTACCCAACCAATGATAAAATGGATTGATGGACAGATGGTTTGGTGTAGTCAAAATAACAGATACTAAGAGCAGGACCTATTAAAGATCAAGTTTCTGTCATGTAAAATAGCTTAAACTCATTTTTGCTACATAAACATGTGTAACATACATATCATGTGTCAATGCCTGAGGGTGTAACCAAACTTCAAGACCTGATAGGTTGGTCAGGTATGTTGTCCTCCAGTGCTACTATAGTACAAAGAGCAATGATGGTGATAAACACCAGGCCAAGGAAATAAAAAAAAAGAGTCCCAAACCCTACCATGAGATAGTTCAGAATTTTAAGGAAAAAAAAAACTTGCCCTGAAAACAATGATTTCTGAAATTCACTGCAGTCCTATTAACCAGATTTACTTTGTCTGATTCTAACGTCATTACAATCAAATTCATTAAGTTTTTTTTTTATATCTTCAACAAATTCCACATGGCACATTTCACTTATTGTTTGTACACTGAGTTAGTTTAAAGGAGCATCATTTACTTAGCAGTAACTTGCATTGTCTCATTTATTGTCAGAAACAACTGAGCACTAAGAAAGGCTGTGAAGTATAATATTTAAAGCAAATTACTAAAAAAAATAACTTAAAATCACAGAAGAACACAATTCATCATTGTCTCAAAGCACTTGGCGTTTGTCAAAAAAAAGTTTTTCTTGTTGATGGGCTTAAATTTTATCGAGGAAAACTTTCAAATAAGCCTGATGCAATCACAACATTTCCAGTTCAAAGTTCAAAATTAAAATTATTTTAACTAATTGGATTTTTTTTTCTTATTTTTCCCTAATTTCACATCAGTTTGTTGCCACTTACCAGTAGAGTCATGTTATCATCTGCAAGTGGGGCTGAAACATTTAAACCCAAAGCAGAGACTGAAAAAGACAAACAAAAAGCTGAATTAATTAGTTATAACAATTTCTAGTTTGATGTGAAATTATGAAAAGGTTGTACAGTTTTTTCTCGTTTGACAACATTTTATCAGATTAAATGGACTGCCAGAATCCATGAATACATACTCACTTTTCAGATAGCATCCAAAAATAAGCCAGAAACAAACACAAACATTATCACATAGAGTAAAAACTGTAACATTTAATTTAATGACAATTGTTGTATATTTTAGTAGCAGGGAACAATGATAATATCTTTAGTAACACAAAATTTAATTTGATGAAATATTTTAGCTCAGTAACATATTGCCATTCTTCCTTAAAGCAATCAGAACAGAGGAGGAGGACAGAAGTATTTTATTTATTTATTTATTTATTTTAAATGTAGTAAGTATGGGCGGCTGTGGCTGAGTGGTTAGAGCAGTCGTCCTCCAATGTGAGAGTTGGGGGTTCGAATCCACCAGCAGTCACATGCTGAAGTGTCCCTGGGCAAGACACTGAACCCCTCATAGCCTCTGATGTGTGTCCCATCAGTGTATGAATGTGATATAAAAGCACCGATTAGTCTCATTAAAATGATTTGTTCAATTAGCTTTGTAGCGATGTAGAGTGCTGTATGAATGGGTAAATGAGGACACAAATTGTAGTGTAAAGCGCTTTGAGTATCTTGAAATAAGCTAGAAAGGCGCTATATAAGTACAGTCCTTTACCTTTAAGAGATTTAAGTGTACAAAGTACAATAAATTATAAAAGCAATGCATTTTGATTTAAATGTTAGTGAAATGAGAAAATTAAATAATCTTTTGTGAGTCAGTGCTCACAATTTATTAACAGAAGAAGTTTTAGTCCTTGTTTTTGATTTATGTGTCACTTTTTAGAAAACTAATCATTGACAGACAAAGCAATGTATTAAAATTGAGGAATCTTACCCTGGTCTGGAGCAATGCATTCACACTTGTAGGCTGTGATGTAATCAGGCTTGAAGCCACAGTTGATTGGGTAATATTTAAAGGATTCTACCTGTGGAAACAGTTTGATTCATGTATCAATGCCGGCACATAGATAATAGCAATCTCTGTAGAAATATCAGCAGGTTACCCACCATCTTCTTGATTGCATCGGAGATAAATATGAAGGAGATGAGGCTAGAGAAACCCTCCTCTGTGAAACGTGTCATGTATTTGATAATGTAGCTGGCATCGGTGAGAACCAGCAGAAAACATTGCAGGCATGAGTGAAGGCCGATCCACAGACGCAGCTCCATGTAGTCGATGTTGTTGGTCCTGTGAGCCCAGTCAGAGAAAGTGGAAGTAAAAAGACATGAAGTGATTTATTTGTGAAAGATTCTTACACACCATCAGGGCTGGTTGCCATAAACCTAAATGCTTCAAAACTTGGTATCTAACCCCAGCTATTAATCTGGTTTTACTCTGGCCTTCATATTACTGTAAGGTACCAGGAATTATTATTTATTGATTTTTTTTTATGTTTTATTTTTAAGAATTGTCCTCTTCAAAAGACCTTTCTTTTACATATCACTAAAAATGGGTGCATGGTCTCTGAGTTTGGAATTTTAAAGTTTGAAGAAGTTGCTGTGATCAGATGAGACTAAAACAAAACTTTTTGGCCTTCAAGGAGAATGCCATGGCTGGTGCAAGGCTAACACCTTTCATTGTGCTGAGAACACCAGTGAAGCATGGTGGTGGCAGCATCATGCTGTGGGGAATTTCTTTTTGTTTGATGGGACTGTGAGACTGGTCAAAGTTGAGAGAAAAGTACAGAAAAAATGAAAGCTATTTAAGTCTGTGCCTGAGATTCAACTTTCAGCAGGACAATGGACCTAAACACTCAGCTGAAGCACCACTCTAATATTAAATGTCCTGGAAGAGTCCTGTCAAAGCCCAGACTTTAATCCACTGGAGATGTATGATTTAAACAAGGCTTGTGAAGATGCTTTACCAGTTTTGCCACAAAGAATGGGCAAGAATTCTAGTAACTTGATGTTGCAGCTCATGGAAACGTTCAGGGAGAGACCTGCTGCTATTATGACTGCAAAAGGTACACAAAGAATGGACTTAAGAGGGTTAATGCAGTAAAAACAATATTTTTAAGTTTAATATGTTTTGATTATTATTTAAAACAAGGTTTTCTATAATTTGATGTTATGGCCTGAAGCCATTGTTTTGAGTGACTGTGCAGTTGCAGGTTGTTGGTTTGATGACCCATCTCTGCAGTAACCCATTTGCGATCGGCTGGCCGCTCCTGACTCCTCCCAGTGGACGTCCCTCTGCATCCTGGTTGGATTCTTCATCTCCTGCTCCTTCAACCGCAGAAGAAGCTTGCCTATTTAAGCCCAGCTCTCCTGCCAATAATGGTGCTGGGGTGGCAGACAATGAAAAATTGGACGTTGCATGCGGAAAATCTTTAAAATACTATCTACTGGTGGTGAGGCATAATCTGAATTGTGAATGAACCAGAATGACTAGTAGTAGTGGGTTGTCTGATGAGGAAGAAATGAACTGGACACCTGTACATATAAAGAAAAAAATTGGAAGTAGAGACAAGGTGGATATTCAAGTATTGGGAAATAAGAGAGCATTAGAAAATGATGATTTACAATCATCAGATGCTAGAAAGAGAGTGATGACAAGGGAAGAATTTAAAGGAGTGAAAGTTGACAGTGAGTCTGTTTTGTTGACATTTAATGAAGAAGTTCTGCCAGTGATGGTAGGATATTTAAACTTTAATGTACGAGAGTATGTTCCTCCTCCTATAAGATGCTTCAAGTGTCAACGTTATGGGCATATTGCCAATGTATGTAAAGGCAAACAGAGGTGTGGAAGATGTGGTGGGGAGCACACATATGGTCAGTGTGATACAAATGTTACAGTAAAATGCTGTAATTGTGTGTGTGTGTGTGTGTGTGGGGGGGGGGGGGATCATACAGCTGCTTATGGAGGGTGTGTTGTGAGGAAGAAAGCTGTAGACATCCAGCAGTTAAGAACCGAGCAGAAAATTTCATACTCTGAAGCTGTAAAAATCTACAAAAGTAATGAGGGGATAGCTTCAGCCCATCTAGGAAGGCCTTCTGTAGCAGGTGCAATAGCTCCCCCTTCTAATCAAGTGCATCAAGTCAGTTCTGAAATTCCTGTTGATAAACTAGTGCTGTTTCTTGCTTATGTCATAAACTGTTCAGATCAAATCAAGAGTAAAACAGAAAAGATCAAGCTAGCGGTTAAAGCAGCAGAAAAAAATTTAAACATACAAAATATTTCATGGGAAAAAATCCACGCAGACCTTAGTCAGGAGAATACCTGTGAGCAAACCTCTCACCATCTCACTTAATGTTAATACTCCAATGGAATTCTAGAAGTTTATTAGCAAACGGTCAAGAGTTTAAAGGTTTTCTGGAAAATTTAGAAGAGAGACCAGATAACATATGTATTCAGGAGACCTGGCTTAAACCTCACTTAGACTTCATAATTAAAGGTTATATAACAATACGTAAAGATAGATGCAGTGGAAATGGAGGGGTGTGTGCAACATTTGTCAGGCAAGGAATAAATTATAGTCAGATAATAATTGATACTGAACGTGAGGTGGTAGCTATTGAGGTGTGGAGAGGTAGAGAATGTGTTACACTGATAAACTTCTATAATCCATGTAAAAAACTAGACAAAGAAAAATTAGAATCATTGTAAAGAGGGTATTATTTGGTGTGGGGATTTTAATGCACATAGCACTTTATGGGGTGAAAGAAATGATGGTAGTATTTTAGAGGAAGTGTTGGATGAACAGGAATTGATATGTGTAAATGATGGTACAGGTACAAGGTTAAATATTGTTCAGGGGTTGGAGTAGGCACTTGATCTCACAGTTGTGTCTCAGCGTTTAGCAGGAAGGATAGGTTGGAGAGTTTATAAAGAAAGTTCCATTGGTAGTGATCATTATTTAATTTTTGTAGATGGAAGGATCGACTGGAATTTAAAAAAAAAAGATGAGAGCAGCTAGGTGGAATATTAAACGAGCTGACTAGGGCAAGTTTGCTTTTTTAATTGAAAGAAAAATTAATGAAGTAAAGAAAGATTTAACTATTCGTGAATTTGTTAAAGATCTCAACAATGCTATTTCAGTAGCTGCAAATGAATCAATTCCTAAATATAAAAGTAATCAAGAGAAGTCTAGTTCCTTGGTGGACAGAAGACTGTTCAAAGGCAGTTAAATGCTGAAATAAAGCTTCCAGAGTACTTAAATTAACTAATAATTTCCAAATTTTAATTCAGTATAAAAGAAAGCAGGCAATAGTAAGGAAAGTTGTGAAATGTGCTAAAAAAGAATATTAGAGGAAATTTTGTGATTCTGTTGGATGAACTACACCATTACAGAAGGTATGGAAAACAATTAATAAAATGAGTGGAAAAAGGGTAGAATAAGGTCTCCCAATTTTGAAGGATGGACAAAATGCTATAATAGAAAATAAGGATAAGGCAGAATTTTTGGCAAGAGCATTTGTTAAAGTGCATAGTACAGATAATATTACTTATGAGGAAAAAAGACCAAGGGATTTGACAATACAAAATAACAGAGAAGATCTTCAGAATGAAGAGGACTTCCAAAATAGTCTCAACAGTAGGTTCTCTATCTCAGAGTTGAATAATGCTCTATAAAAGACAAAGGACTCAGCTCCAAGAAAGGATCAGATTAAGTATAGTATGTTAAAAAAAATCTTACAGAAAAATGCAAAGAAATTCTTTTAAATCTTTATAATAAAATTTGGGAAGAAGGGGTTATCCCCCACTCTTGGAAAGAAGCAGTGATTGTTCCAATTTGTAAACCTGGCAAGGATCCAAGTCAGGCTAGTAATTATAGACCAATTCAATTCAATTCAGTTTATTTATATAGCGCCAAATCACAACAAAGTTGTTCCAGGGCACTTTACAGGAACATTCACATACATTAAAGCCAATAAGTAAAGTTCTCTATCTAAGGAATAGCATTGACCTCTCATACAGGGAAAGTTATGGAGAATATGATTAATGAAAGATTAATTTATTATGTAGAAACAAAAGGCATGTTAAAAATATATCGGAGTGGATTTAGGAAAGGATCCTGCCATATTGTTGGAGGATGAGATAAGGAAAGCATTTGTTAATAAAGAAAGTCTCATTGCTGTATTTTTTGATATAGAGAAGGCATTTGACATGATGCGGAAACAAGAGCTTTTAATTAAGCTAATGTAGATGAACAGATGCTCAGATATATTCATCAATTAACACGGATTCCTCATTTTTCTGGACTGAATAAAACGTGCATTGAATTTAATGAAATGCAAACGTGAGACGTCATTTATCTTTGACCCATCAAAATGAATGCGGTCATTTATTTACAGAATCAAAGTTTAACATCAAACATTTACATTAATTTGGCAAATTATGAAAATAACAACAAAAGCAATCAATCAGGAAAAATCATACGGCCATGATTTTTCCGTTGCTTCACCACAGACATTTATGAAAACTGTACAATTATGATCTTAATCCACACGGCGGTGGATGAGCACTTTACACAGACATTTCTAAATATCTGGAAGAATATCTACTTGAGAGAGGAGTTTAAAGATGGGAAGGAAGTTAAAGGGAGTAAGGATGGTGTTTGAGGGAGAGTGTTGAACAGAACGGCACTCTCCGGGCTTTCTTCAGCTTCTTCCTTACAGTACACTTAGGTGGTGAAATCGACTCTTTTACCTGGAGATGTCTCAGGCGAGATTCCGTTTAACGCACCCTTCAGCGTCTCCGTAGGATGCTGTTACTCGTCCGGAGTAGCGGCGAGATTCTGTCCGACACAAGCTCACCTCAGTGGAAATTGTTATAATCCCATGAAACTCGGAAGAGCTCTGTGGTCATGTCAGGGTCTTCCCGGCTCCCACAGCTACTGCCAGCACTAGGACATATCAGAACTGTCCGCGCCGCCGAACTTCTCCAAACCCACAGAACTGGGCTTCTCCGCGCAGAACTGAACTCATCCCAACTCTCACAGAACCGAACTCCTTCAACTCTCACAGAACCCCACAGAACTGGGTCAACCAGGAAGTACCGACATTTTAAAGAGCTCTTTTCCCGGTTCATTCGGGAGTCTTCCCATTGGTCAGAACCGACCAGACGGGGTGTGTTTTGTGACGTAAGAGGTTAGAAGACAGCAAGAATTGTTATGGAACAGATCAGAAATGTTCTCACAGACAGAGAGAGTTTTGTTTTGGCGAGTTTTAGAAACAGGTGCCAAAACC